TCGAAGAGAACTGTGCTGACTGAAGAAAAGGTTAAGGATATTCAGGCAAGATTACAGATCAGTCCTCGAAAATCGTTAAGACGCTTAGCACAGGAAACTGGTGTTTCGCTAGGATCTGCTCGCACAGCCACAAAGTTAATCAAATTTCGCCCGTATAAAGTAACAGTTGTGCATGAGCTGAAAGAACCAGATCATGCAGCAAGAATTCGTTTTTGCAACTGGCTGCTGCAAAATGTACACGATGGAATAGTGGATCCTCAGCTTCTATTCATGACTGATGAAGCGTGGTTCCACGTTGGTGGCCACGTCAATGCACAAAACGTAAGAATATGGAGCAATGAAAATCCTCACGCTATACAGCAAGTGCCATTACATAGTGAAAAGGTGGGTGTGTGGTGTGCTGTAAGCCCGCGGCGAATCATTGGCCCCATATTTTTCCACGATACCGTGAACTCTGATCGGTACATTAATGACATACTGAATCCCTTCTTCGATCAGTTGAATGCCGAAGAAAGACAATACGGGTATTTTCAGCAGGACAACGCTACAGCACATACGGCTAATGCATCCATGGTCGCAATACAGGAAGTGTTTGAAGACAGAATTGTCAGTAGAGGACTGTGGCCTCCCAGATCCCCAGATCTCAGTATTTCTGATTATTATCTTTGGGGCAACCTGAAGCAAAAAGTCTACAAAAATAATCCCCGCAGCATTGATAGTCTTCAAAATGAAATTACACGCGTAATTCATTCAATTACCGTCGACGAACTGCAGAGAGTGTCGCGTAATTTATTTGTGAGATGCGCGGCATGTTTGCAAGCAGAAGGAGGTCACTTTCAGCACCTGTTATAAACCACGGTAAGTTATCTTTTTACTGTATTCTTATAAATGTGTGCATGTAAACCAACTGATGGACGGAGACTCAGCGACACCACTACACTCACGCTATCGGGGAACGGCACTGCAGTCGCGGGGAGGAGTTGCATCCGTTCTGCGGTGGTATGACTCACGGCAAATTGCAGCCGCGGCGCGCACTTGATTGTATGCACTGTAGAATTTTATGGAATAGTTGGTAAGGCCAATGCATTAATAAAATCCTATGTGAAAGATAGATACCTATTTTACTCATTGGAGGAATAATTCAACTCCAATATTAATTAATGATCTTGGTCTGTTATATGCTGGATGCCTAGTAGTATACTTTTATGTTTCATTATTGTAGTCTTGTGTCATTATTGTGCTGCATTCTTTCACATATATATTTGAAAACTGTGTTAATGATTTACTCACTGTGATTTCTCTTTGATAATATGTGTAATTGTTATGGGTTAAATATAAAAATTTTTTATTTATATCATTGATGGGACTTGTCCTGTTGTCTTTGACTATTACTATATCCACTGTTCTTCCAGTTGTGTAAGGATTAATGGAAAGTAAATAAATGAATGAATGATTTTAATATGAGGAATCATGTAATGAAATGAACAAGTTTTGTATAATGTTAGTCCTTTGTAAAGTAATGTGTTATTTTCCAATGTAGAGAAACTAATTCACCTGGTAAAGAGGCACACTAACTTCTGTTCCCCCCCCCCATTCAGGTGGGTGCAGGAGCGAGTACATGGCAACAGCTGTGTTTGTTGAGGAGGTTGACAACTTCTTCGATAGTTTCAATGGTGGAACAAGTGTTGGCTGAGGGAAAACACTGCGTTTCCCACTCAGTGACAACAGTCCCCATATAGAGCTCTGGAAAAAGGCAAGTATGGGGTAAAGAGTTGGATCTTCCTCAAGGATGGTAAACCTGCCTTTCTTCATCCTCCTCCTTCACAGAATGGGTGGCTGATTGACATCACTGCTGCCCAGCATGTGTGGAGGACACTGAAAGAGGCGGGTTTTTAGTACCTTCACACCAAAAACCTGAATCAGGACCCCCTGGAGAACACATTTGGAGCTATTCGTTTGAATTGTGGTTCGAACAATAACCCAACTGTGGGACAGTTTGTAGATGCCCTGAAGACTAGCATCATCAGTGGCATTGAATTTAGAGGACTGGGGGAAACTAATTGCGAGGATGATGGTGCTACTCTTCTGGATAATCTACAATCGCTTTTCAGGGCACGTGAAGGTGCATCACGAAATCCTTCCACAGGTCATGACAAGGATACCCCTGCTGGTGTGCCTGAGAGTTTCCATGTTGCTCAGCAGTACAGATGGACATGAGTCCTGCAGTACCTGCTGGTGACATGGAAGTGTTCTCAGTAGCTTACATCAGTGGTTTCATTGCCAGACAGGTGCTTCGTGGTGTCAGCTGTGATGCATGCAAGACATCTGAAGTGCTGCTATCAGCCAGTGTCTTCATATATTTCAAGGAGTGCAGTGATACAGAACAGTCTCTCACATATCCTTCTGAGAAGCTTGTGGCGACTGTTGGTACTGCTGTAACTCTGATGGAGTCTATAATGGCAGAGGCTGCCCACTTGAATTCAGTGGAGCAGCATATCACAGCTGCCATCAAGAGCACCATTGACTTCGAGTGGATTAGGTGTTCTGGCTGTTCGCTTCACCACCAACGAATAGTGCATAGTATTGTGAGATGTCTCACACGAATTTACATTCCTTGGTGGTGTAAGCGAAAAAACAGGTTGACTGAAGCAGCCAGGCAGAGGGCCACAGAGAGGAAGATGAAGATAATGTCACATCGGTAAGTCATTATGAAAGTAATGCTTCTTCATTTTTGCTTTGTAATGTCCTGCCCATACCAGCCCTGGAAATTGACAGAGAGTGGTTATGAAAGTACTGGAAGAATATGTAAGCCAGCTACTCACATGAGCATCTTTAAATGTTTCGTAAGTTGGAGAAAGTATCCCTGGTGACAAGCAGTTGCAGTGCAGCAACAGAAACTACTGTGCAGCGAATGATAACATAGTCATCCACAGTTTAGATACGCACAAGAAACCTACTTTGAACTAGAGCTGCATCTCTTTCCTGCTTTGCAAACATGTTGCAGTGAATGATAACATGGTCAACCACAGTTCGATTACATACATGAAACTTATTTTGAACTTGAGCTCCAACTCTTCGCCTCTGTGCAAACATGTTTCCTTTGTCTCAGAATATTAGAACTTCACTGGGTCAGCGTTCATTCTGGCCTTTATCATCAAGAAATTATTTCAATTGAGTGTATGGGAAATTGTTTTCTGACACACATGGGTCTTCTTTATGTGTAAGTAAGATTGAAGAAGCAATACTTCATGACTGACTTGCAAAGTTCAGGTTATCCACCTTAGTGTGAAACTCTGAGAAGCAGAATCAGTATCAGGATTGAATGTGGGTAACACTATTTATTTAATTTTTTTACCTATTTCATTTTCATTACATTGTTATTCACTTCTGTTGTTACAGGTGTATTCCTTCTCTTGCTTTTACCATATAATGCTACCTGTACTGGACTGGTGAACATGAACATAAGATTTTCAATAGTAATTGCATTTCTTTAACATATATTATTAATTTTTGCTATATAATCGTATTCAATACTGAACTGGAAGATGAATATATACCAGATTGTCAGTATTCATTACATTCTTTTGTAAGATGTGTTACTTTTGCTATGTAAACCTTTCCATTACTGAACTGGAACGTGAACAGATACCAGATTTTCAGTATTCATTATATTTCTTTAAGATATGTTATTTTTTCCGCCATATTATTCTGCCCAGTACTGAACTGGTGAAGATGAATACATCAGATTTTCTATCATTAAACGCACTCTTAATCTTGTTGACAAGGGTGCATTTCACATTCTCGAATTCCATCATTCTAATGAAAATAATAAATGGGAACATGAGTATTGTTTCTTACAATATATGATTTATAATACTTAAATGTAACCGGAAAACTGTGTTCTTTGTGGCTTTCAAGTGTAAGTTATGAGGAAATTATTAGTCTTAATATATGTATCTCTGATTGAAACATAATTTTCTTTCAAGTTTCCCCACCTTCAGCTTTCCTAATTACAAGTATTCCATGTATGTTACAGTTCACGATGTTCAGTGCTTTTGGTTGCTTTTTCGTGTTTCATGTGAAAGAAAGGTTATGACTTTCCAGGCCTGGTGACAAACTTTCTCCAGATAATTAATTTGCAACCTAATCTCGTGTACTCCAGAGCTGCAGAGGCTCTTATTCCGCTTTTACTTTTTTTTGGAAAGGGTGGGGGACAAAGTTTAATAGAACTTCACTCAGATCCAACCCAAAGGATATGGGTGAAGTGACATTAAACTTACTTATGGAGCTGAGCCCTTCTTGAGAAGCTGTCAATTGTGCAGCCACTCAAGAATTTTCCAGTCTTTTGTAGAACCCAAAGGTTCATTACTCTGTTCACAAGAGCCCTCCACTGGTCCCTATCCTTAGCCAGATCAGTCCAATCCAATCTATACCAACCTATCTCTCTAGGATACATTTTAATATTGTCCACCCACCTACACCTTCGTCTTCCAAGTAGTGTCTTTCCTTCTGGCGTTCCCACTAATATCTTATATGCAGTCCTCGCCTCACCATTCGTGCTATATGCCCTGCCAACCTCATCCTCCTCGACTAGTGATATCGAAGAAAGTTCAAAAATGGTAATAGGTTGGTGGGGAAATGAATACTTTGAACTGTGTTCAATATCACTAGTCGAGGAGGATGAGGTTGGCAGGGCATGTAGTATGAATGGGGAGGCGAGGAATAGGAATGCATATAGGTTTTTAGTGGGAACGCCAGAAGGAAAGAGAGACTGCAGTACAAGAGATCTAAAAGTATTTATTGCTAGTAGCGAAAAAAGCATTCTGAGGTGTAAAGGGGGGAGCACTCAAACTAGTTGCTAAGGTAGCATACTTTCTTACCGATTGCGCTCTCGGCCCTGGAGGTCATTTCTAATTTAGTCATGTAAGCTGAACATAGATGGGAGTAGCGTTTCAGCGAGGTGTCATGGCGGCCATGTTGCCGAACAATAACATGGGAGTTACACGGGGGTGGTAGCTAGGGTAGCTAGCGTAGCTAGTTACCCCAGTAAGAGGAATGCTCTTGGTGTTACAGCAGGTATATCGTATATGTATTCGGTAATGTGAGTCAAGAACAACAGTAATATTGTAATATAACCTGCAAGTCTATATTATATTGCTCACTCAACAATGACTGATGTTTGTGGGAGCCCGAAAACATTTTGTGCGAAGGAAGTGTTTCTTGCTTCGGCGTTGTTTGATGGATTGGAAGACTGCAGTATTAGGTAATACTATTTTAGCAGGTTGTAGTTCTATTTTAATTTGTGATGGACGTTTTATAAAATGTGGTATAATCTGTAGAGGACCCTATTTTGTGGACGGAACATTCCGATGATGTTCTTGCCACAAGGTGTTTCTATGAAACCATTTGTATAACCCGTAGGTCATTTTCTAGGATTATTTTCACATTGTTCATGTTAATTACATAAATTTATACAACATTTTCTCTGTTTAATTTATGAACGACATGAGATAATCTCTCAGTGTTGGCTTATATACATTAATGTTATGATTTAAGCTTTTAATGATTATTTCATGTATAGTGCTGTGCTTTCTGATATCTCTTAAGGATAGTTTGTGGCATATGGAGGACATGTATTTGCCTTGAATATGTGTGAATCTGTTTGATGGTTTCTATGTTGTCATAATGATGGTAGTAACTTATATTAAATTTCCTAAAATTGTCTATGAGAGTTTTTAACGCCATCCATTATGCTGCTATTTCGCTTAATATCCATATGGTGTAGCTAGCCTTCACTGCAGTTCCTTGCTTGCTTGTAGTGTTTGTCAAAAGTGTGCTGAGAGAACAATTTTTTTTTGTCAAATCGCATTCTGTATTTTGTGAACTGTCCCTGCATTGTATTACATATTTTTGGCATGTTTTGTATCTTAATGTGGGTACGCAGTAGTGTAGTGGTTAATGTACTATGCTACAAGCCGGAAGGTCGCGGGTTCAAGTCCCGATGAGGTCATTGGGTTTTTTCCAATTGACCTAATCCTTCCGGCCACACTAGGCCCTGGGGTTTACTCAGCCTCTAATTAAATTAAATAATTTTCCTGGGGAGTGAAGCGCGGCCGGCGCGTAAGGCTGACAACCTGTAACCGTCCAAACCTTTTAATATTCTTTAATGGACACTGTGTTCCACTTAGTCATTTCAATAGAGTGACTGATTTATTAGGGAGACCCATCCATTAAGAAGTTGACAGGCATTTCGCATTTAGACAGGAACAACTTATTTTGATACCTGGACCTTGGGTGAACGTTAGAGGGTCGAGGCAATTATGAAAAGGATATGTTTGTTGTCTGCCCTAAACTAAGACATAAGTGCTTTCACATGTAGGGTCCCGGGTTCAAAATCTCTGGATCTCTTCATTCTCAAAGCTAGTAATGTGATTGTCTTGTACTGATGGTATCATGATTTGGCAGTTAAAATCAGCCATTAGAGAGAATTCTTGTCTGGGAGAAAGGCCGTCGGTTCAAGTCCTATACGGTAAGAAGTGACGCTCCCGGAGATAGAGTGGGCAGAAGCACTTGGTGTTCAGAATTCATCAGAGTCAGACGTATCGGACTTAGCACTTAGAATTCACCAGAGGCAGACGTCATTTACCTGCTCTCTCCAAGTTTATCTAAATTTAACAGTATTTATTTGGCTCGATTAATCTTTGGCACATTACTCCCTACTCGCCGATAAAGTTATAGTTTGATTCTGAAATAAACAATATTGTGATTAAGCAGAAAATAGAGTATTTATTTGTATCAGTGGACTAGTTTTAAATGTGCAGTCTCCGCGTTGCCCAAGTTATTACCGTGGCACAACCCTGAGAAGAGTCAAAAGTGTTCTACCGAAGCGGGCAA